GATAAAAATTTCAAAATGATTGCACTGCTTTAAAGCCCTTTGACCTTTAATAATGTGTGGATGCACCCTGATGTGCTACGCATTCTCCAACGCGCCTAGGCATGCTTCTGATCAGGTGGTCAATGTCCTCCTGTGGTATCTCATTCCAGGCAACCACCAACTCCTCTCGAAGTGCTTTAGAGTCTGAGGAGGACGTTGCAAATTGAGCAATCTCGTACCCATCATATCCCACACGTGCTCAATTGGGGATAAGTCGGGAGATCTTGGTGGCCATGGTAACAATGTGACATCATTATGTTGAAAGAAGTCTATTGTGACTCTTGCAACATGTGGTCGGGCATTATCTTGTTGGAAAGTTGGATCTGCCAGGGTGTCAAGATAGGGTAAAAGATGGGGTTCTAAAACTTCGTGGATATAACGCTGCGCGTTCATGTTACCTCTGATGAAGATTAAAGGTGACCTGGAACCATAAGCTATAGCACCCCAAACCATAACTCCAACAGTGTGATGAACATGTCTTTCAACAAAAAACTGTGGATTCCTCCTTTTACCACGTCGCCTTCTAACCCTGGCACGACCATCGTGCATGCCTAAACAAAATCGAGACTCGTCACTAAAGACAATACTGTTCCATTCCTGATCCCAGAGTGACCGTTGTCTGCACCACTCAAGGCGATTACGTCGGTGTTCTCGAGTTAAAGGGAGGACCCAGTGTAGCCGGTATGAAAACAAGCCATGGTTTGGGGTGCTATAGCTTATGGTTCCAGGTCACCTTTAATCTTCATCAGAGGTAACATGAACGCGCAGCGTTATATCCACGAAGTTCTAGAACCCCATCTTTTACCCTATCTTGACACCCTGGCAGATCCAACTTTCCAACAAGATAATGCCCGACTACATGTTGCAAGAGTCACAATAGACTTCTTTCAACATAATGATGTCACATTGTTACCATGGCCACCAAGATCTCCCGACTTATCCCCAATTGAGCACGTGTGGGATATGATGGGTAGGAGATTGCTCAATTTGCAACGTCCTCCTCAGACTTTAGAAGCACTTCGAGAGGAGTTGGTGGTTGCCTGGAATGAGATACCACAGGAGGACATTGGCCACCTGATCAGAAGCATGCCTAGGCGCGTTGGAGAATGCGTAGCACATCAGGGTGCATCCACACATTATTAAAGGTCAAAGGGCTTCAAAGCAGTGCAATCATTTTGAAATTTTTATGATTTACATATTATGCTTCATTAAGTACTTATACAAAATTTTATTAAAATAAAACCATTTAAACTGGGTGTTCGGATTTATATTTATATGTCACTTAGTATATTTGTGGGATGGTTCCTTGAAAAACGCTTACTTTTTTTGGCGACTGCGAGCAATAATATGCTGTTTCTTCCACTACTAACCCTAAAAATCACTATTATTGACCGCAATCACTCAGTGAGAAGTATTTCTCTCCTTAGGTAAATATTGAAAACAAAAAACATCTAGGTAAATAATAATGCCATTTGAAATTGTATCCTGTCAGTTTCATTGTGTCAGTGACAAATGGACATTAGATTTTGAAATAGTTTATTACGATTAAGAAATAAGCAATTTTGAGTAGAGTTCCTCATGTGGTTCTCCTCCTTAAATACCCCAGTAATCGAATAGAATGTTTAAAAATGGGTTTTAATGTTAACGAACATTTGTACCATTGTGTTGGATTGGCCAGTCCAAACGGAATCAGCTGTCTGGTACACCAGGTAATTAGATATTTTAAAGTATTTGTAAAATGAGTTGGAAACGTCATGAAAAAAAAATCTATACATATCTCGTTTGAGAACAACAAATTCGAATAGATTAGAAGGGGCTTACCTACATTGCATTGTTTGTCGCCACAATTGCTTAGTTTTAGTGCATACATTTGACTCATTCGTCTACCAATGCCTGCCAAAGTGACAGCATTGTATTAACATAATAATAATACTTCTACTTGTGCCACTCTTTGAAAATTATGTAAGAATTACCATGTCTTGAAATCGTCTAACACCACAATTATCTGCAAACACTCGCATTTTATAAAATAATACAAAAATAGATATGTAATGACAGAACTTTCCAAAAATGACATGTCAAGCGCACTTTGATCCTCACTCGCCCAATAAAAGCCCACTTCTCAAACCAGGTATGCGATGTACTTTTTCCGTCGGTCGTAGAAAAAAAGTTGTACCTGAAATACTTCAAGCTAAAACCACTAATTAAATTCTTCGGTTTTCAAGGACATATTTCCGCTTTCTTTTATTAATTCATTGATAATTTGCGTGCTATAATATCGAATCAGATCGAAGCCCTGTGCGAACATTAGTGACAGTAGATAAGCCAAGTTAGTTTTTTGTCAATAATGCCGTACATTAAAGATGATGGCGATTTGACTTGAACTAATCTAATCAACAAAAAAAAAATAGAGTAACAGAGGAAACATGAAAAGTGACCAAGAGTTTCAAAAAGTCGATTTTCATATTTCATTATATAACAACATAACGGGACTGTCCAGCCAACATAAAGCGGTCCATTGGTGCAGCGCTTTTGTGCTGCAGTATGTGGAACAGCTTTAACAGTTCGTAACATTGTTCAACATCATACTATTAAATCCGACAGCCAAGTGAATACTGCTGTCAAACTGACAAAGTAATTACAGTGCTACTACTATTCAGCATAAAAGCGCTGCGCCGCTGACACTGGACCGCTTTACACTGGCTGAATGCTCCTACTGTTTCTAAAACGCTGTTTTTGCTTGTGGCGAAATTTTAATATCTAATTACTTGCACCATTATGCAATGCGACTCGATATTATTTAACATGCACACATCACTTGAATTTATGGCGGATGTGCCACTATACATAAAAAAAGTTATGCAGATCAGAGCTCGTTTACTTCTATTTGTAAGCAATAAGATGCAGATGTTAGACCAAAATTTTTAGTTTTTGCTGTTTCTATAAAAGCTTAAGTATTAGCTTGTAATAAAAAAAAACCTTCAATTCTTCAAAGTTGTTTGAAAAATTGAGTAACATTTTTGAGAGGGGAAATGTGACTGGCCTAGATATTGTAAAAAAGTATATTTTTATGGAGTATGTATGTTAAACGATTTTGATTGATTGATTTATGTGGAGATATAGGCCACTGTATGATCTATGAAAATTTTGACACCATAGTAACCAATTGGGACTCCACATAATATTTTTCGTTGGAAATAACTACTACTCCATGGATACACTAGCCTTAAGACAATATTCATTTGCAGCTTCGATAACGAATGTGCAGAAATATTTTTGTAAAGGTTCTTAAGTTACAAAAGAGTATTCTTAATTCTTACTTGACCCTTACGGAATGACCTTTTTTTGAAAATAAGTTTTGTTTCAATACCGTCCCCACCGATTTGAATAGCACCCAACCCATAAAAATATCGACCAATTTATAAAACTTAATTAGGTGATCTAGGGTTCTTAAGGTTGTTGATTAGGAGTCTACTATCAAAATTGGCATTTTATTGGCGACCAACATGAGTGCATTTTACTCTATTCATGGCGATTACCGTGATGTAAATATCGGTTGAATTAAACGATGTCAAACTTTACTAGAAAAAAACAATTCCCACTGATGTCCTTGAAGTCTGTATCCCCATAGAAGAGCTCTGCAGGACATTTTTTGATAAGAACTAATCATATTTTTTATATCCTCTGTGGGTCCAAGAGATTATTGGTTTAATTATGAATTTTTGGCATGTCATTATTTTCTTGTTATACTCATAAATTATGCAGTGCTTTTCTTTAATATCCCACCATTTATTTTTAAAAGAAACACACTGCACATACATAGTAGTAGTAGTATATTTAGCCAAATTTCAAAGTTCTAGCGAAGCTTGCATCTTTAGACTGAAAAACTTCACAATGCATTTGTCAGCTATGATGCCCACAGTTGAGCATATACCTTGGAAAATGGATTACGACAATTTACTTGAGCAAGAGTCCCGACTGTAGTCAAAACTTCATATTAAAGTGATCTTAGTTATACATTTGAATTACGAAAAAGTGGTCTATGTGAGCTATACATTTTCTTATGTCTTTGGGAAAATACATTCATTGCACTATTAGGTATGTGCCAAGATATCAGCGAGTTATGAATCCGTGGCATTCGTGAACCTATATGCATCCCATAAACCCTCTTCCAACCAACTCACTTTACTGCTGGTAGGCCCGTGGTGGTCCTGGGCCCCTGGTTGGGGGCCTTCAGCGTGTAGCACCCGCTGCAGATCTAGCACCTACATAAAGCCACAATTACACTACGTTTCGCAACTCTCTATGAACGATGACAAGACTACGCGGCTGGATTGTCGCGTGTGAATGCGGCTGCTTTGTCGCGTGTGAATGCGGCTTAAGGTTGTAGTGTGTGGTGAAGGTGCGTCAGTTATTGGTAGTTAAGTTAGCGTAAAGTTGCTTTGTTCTTCAAAAAACACATAAGGCGACCTCGTAAGGATCAGAAAATGTATGGAATACACATTTTACTATATAAGTACAGAATAGGTGCAGAAATGGTTCTGATAACCCTGACTCTGGAATATGAGACAACGTTAATTCCGGATTTGTAAATAAGAAGTCACCTTACGTCCCAAAAATGGAATTTCTTATCTAATAGTAATATTTTGTCCACGCCCAGATGGGCTACCTTGTATATTACTAGTGCCAGATCCTCTTGACAAAAACCCCGCAGAAACCTTATGCATTCGGCTAATTTGAAAAAAATATGTGACATCTCAACACGCAAAACAACTTGGCCCAAGTTATTGCCACGAGTAGTTTCCGAGATACAGTGTGTGCATGTTGGACGATCCATGCGCTATTACCGAATTAACGTAGGTTCGGTAAACGATATGTAAGTATTTATGAGATATATTCCTACAGGGGCGCTGTAGCATCATCATAAAAAAACTTTGGAAGAATTTCAGTGTCGGAATAATACTAAATCTGTGCAAGTTTGGAACACACTGTACATCACTCAGGATTGCAATGTTACTAGGCTGACCAGAAGAGATGCTGACACGAACGTAAGTACCCATAATATCCTGGAATAGAGTACTTGTGTTCTAGTTGTGGAGACCTACAACATACTATACAGGGTGACGGGAAAATAGATGCGGACCCTGTGGGTGTTTCATTTGATTTTTTTTTTTGGTTTTACAATAAAAATATTGTAAAATACGAAAATTGATACTCAAATGTACACTATTGACGTTATCTCATGCAGTAAGCTTCAAAATAGTTCCATTTTTGTTAAAAAAAATCTTCGTTCATCTCAAAAACTCATTTTACTAGAAACAATCACCTACCAATTTTTCGTGCAAAACAATTTTAAAATATCTACGTTTCATTACCTTTCAAATGAGGTATCAAAGTCACAAACCGGTTTAGAAATGACAAAGACATGAGTGAAAGAAACAGGTAGAGCTGCGAACATCGGACTTTGCCACCGAATAGTGTGATAAGTAAGACTAGTCACCCCCTCCCTCCCACGCTTCAATCTGCTCTTACGATTTGTTGCGTTCGGATGTGCTTATTTGCTCGCTGTTTTGATATTTCTAACGACTTGGATCTTGTTGGACTTCCGTATGTGATTCTTTTCCTGACGACCTAGACCCTAGACTGTACCCTGTTTTCTGTGATTCCTTACGACTTGGCTGCTGTGTGACTTGACTGTTCGTTGATCTACCTATCGATGAACAATGGCTGATGAACAAAGGAGGCGGCCGTTCAGTTTCGAAGAATATGCCGATATCCTTTTCTACTATGGAGATGCCAGAGGCAATGCTCAAGAAGCTCGTCGTGAGTTTGGGGAAATGTTTACTAATCGTCGCCTACCTAACGCCCGCGTATTTAGGCAAACTTTCCGTCGGGGTCGAGAGCGCGGTGCCGTCGTAAGATATCAAGGTAAGTTTGCATCATTGATAATTATTAACTTATCATAATCAGTCATTCAGTAAGGCCTGTGTAGAGCCTTGAAGATCTGTGGGCTGAACTGATGATACTGTAACATAGTTGTTTTGATACAGTTGATTGAACTTCTTAATTAAGAGTTTATTCATTTAATTTTATCACGAGCATCTACACGACTCTGAAGATAGAAACATCCACACATTGTGTATCGTTTTTTCAAAATAATATTTTGCCAACTCTAGCTCATAGTCTTACCGCTATGTTTATTAGGTAACAATTTCCTCCAAAAAACTGTTATTTGTTTTTTCATTTTATTTCAGGTGATGCAGGTAGACCTCGACATGATGTGGAAGAAGAAGAAATATTAAATATTTTCCAAAGAGACCCTACTCTCTCTACTCGCGCTGTGGCTCGACGGCTTGGATTATCCCAATGGCAAGTGTGGTATGTTTTGCATGAAAACATATTCCACCCTTACCTCTGCACACCTGTGCACTTCATAGAGGAAGGAGATCCCATGAGGCGCATGCAATTTTGTCGTTTTATTTTAAACGCTGATGTTGAAGATAGCAATTATTTAAGAAAAATTCTATGGACCGATGAATCAAAATTTGATAAAGACGGCATAACAAACTACCATAACGCTCACTAATCGCGTGAACATGCAGTGGGAAATCCTCATATGAAGAGAACCAAAAGGATCTCAAAGGCGATTTTGTCTAAATGTCTCGATGGGCATTATAAATAACTGTTTGGTAGGACCACATTTCCTATCCAACTTACATGGAGAAGCCTGCGAAAATTTCTTAAGAAATGTTCTATTTGAATTATACTTGAAGACGTGCTGCTACAGACAAGACACAGAATGCTTTTTCAGCATGACGGATACCCACCACATTTCAGACTAAGTGTTAGAAATTGGTTACTTGACCAGTTTCCGAATCGATGGATCGGTAGAGGCGGACCAATCCCATGGCCAGCACGTAGTCCCGATCTCGCACCTATGGACTTTTTTGTTTGGAGTCGCGTGAACACTTTAGTATACTCTGATCAAAATCCTGTACCCACAATAGAAGACCTCAGAAACAGGATAATACATGCAGCACAAGAAATTCAAGCCTCTCTTAGGAATTCGGCGGTAGTAAAATCAGCTATCATAAGAAGAGCACGTGTGTGCATTAGAAATAGAGGGCGCCATATTGAAAATGTATTATAAAAATAAAAAAATGTAGTTTCAAACAAATTATCCATTATTAAGGTATGATTTTGTAAATGTAGTATTGTTATCGCTTTTTCCTTCCTCCTCTTATAATAGTCATATTTTTGCCAATTATTAATCGATTTGTGATTTGTATACCTCATTTGAAGGGTAATGAAACGTAGATGTTTTCTAATTATTTTGTACGAAAAATTTGTATGCGACTTTTTCTGGTAATCTGAAGCTTTTGAGATGAACGAAGATTTTTTTAACAAAAATCGAACTATTTTGAAGCTTACTGCAATCATGTACATCTGAGTATCAATTTTCGTATTTTAGAATATTTTTATTGTAAAACAAAAAAAAATCAAATGAAACACCCAATTTTCAAGTTTTATGGTTAACGTATAAAGGAAGTTAATTTTATACAATCTTCGGACAGTAGTTCCTATAGTAAAATCGACTCAGATTGGCTTGTACTATATCCCCCCACCGGCTCTGCATCTATTTTCCCGTCACCCTGTATAGTTAAAAAAAAATAAGCTATTCGGTTTCTGCGTGGTCTTTTCAAGGCATGGTGATCCCAATACGGCTTTAGTCGATCACGCATAAACTTTAGTATTAGGTCCTCCAAAAATTGAAAGTCTGGTTGTGCTTTCATTTAATGTTAACGTGTACAGGTGTTACAGAATACTGTCAGGATAACTAGAAGGCTCTTAGCACCTTTAAACATTTTGTTTCCATAATATTAATAATTCACCTTACATTACCCGGAAAACGACTAAGATGGATGAGGTTTGGTAGGAGTTAATGATCACACTAAGATATACAAAATTGTTTTCTAATCCACTTATATCAGTGGCATTCTTGCCGATAAGTATCCATATCTAGCGAGATAAATAGTACGCCTCTAGTATTTTTCATAAAGTCAGTATCTTGCAAGACTGATTCTACTTAAAAACTGCCCCTTGAAATTTTTCGTTCAGACGCACCGTAATAAAATTACATTACATAAAAAATACTAATGGGAAGTTCCAAGCAGAATTAATATTGCTTTGAGGAAAATACACTTATTTCGCGAAAACCAGTGGTGTACAATTTTTCGCCAAACATAAGGTTTAAACACTCAGAACCTATGTATATTTGAATTTTATTCACATTTTTGCATTTGGATCTGTCCTTGACAACATTATGTAGCACCCTATAACAGTATGATGAACAAAACAACTTAGCTGTCCTTATATATAACGTTTGTAACAAATCTTGTGTAACTTTTACGGTATATTGTATATGTATATTTTGTAGATATACCAAGCAAAATATGATACAAAATAGATTCTCTCTACTTCTTATTAAAAACTATTGATACCTTTAGTGCTTTATATAAAATTCACCTACGTCTATAAAAATCATAAGATAAAGATAATCACACTACATAATATGTAAAGTAAATAAGAAAATATGAAATTCATAGACATAAGCCAGCATTCACAAATGTAACAAAAATAATGCGTCATTGAAATAACATATATTGAGAATTATAATCATAGTAGCTTAATAACATACACCGTTTACCGCTTTGACGCATCACTTTTTCTACTTTACCGTGTATGTACATCCATGCACCATAACCTAAACAAGTACCAAATACCTCAATATTTAGGGTCTTATAATCGTATCGTATTTAATTATACAGCGAGAACCACTTACGCTTATGCAAAAGACAGCCACTCAGCCATTGAGATTTCATTTCAGAGCTGTCTAGAATCATAAACCTTATCACCTAAGATTACATATAGTATATTGGTTAAGTTAGACGAAACATTGTTATTTTGAACGGGTGACCTAAATTAATTTTTCAAGGTAAACGCCTGCTTTTTGAGGTTCTCTTGCTTATACTAGCAAAGATATCACCAGAGATATCAGATGTCATATATCTCTGAAAATACTATAGTCTGGTTTGAAATGCTATGAAAAAATGATTATCTTTTCCCTTGAGTGGGAGTGAGCGTCTTAGAAACATAAATTAACTTGCGGATATCTCAAGTTTTTCAAACAGTAGGCCTCAGTTTTCTTAAGATTGGAGCTCTGAAATTGCTATTGACGTTGCCAAATTTCCTCAGACAACAAATATTGCTTATTTTTTCCCAAACAGTCTGCACCCGAAACTGTAAAAGTTTTGACAGAAAGGAAAAAATGTATAACACCGTAAATAGAATGCTCTGAGGTGGAACAAATCATTAAAACTGGAACTTTGTATCCTTAGGCGAATGTCTCATGATAAGTATTGACTGATTTCGTCAGTGTCAGTGGGTTTATACGAAACCTTGCACATCAGTAATTGCTGACGTTCTGGCTATACGGCCAATAAATGTCTCATTTGATGAAAAATACTGACACAGTAATAAATACCGATCGTGTGACATTTGTCTTAGGTTTTAAACAACGAAAATACCAAACATTTTTAATCTGTTAATTTCAAATTAATGATGTGTTTAACCACCCTATTCTTGAGCGAATCATGGAATCTATAAACGACGTAATATACAGACTAGTTTATTCAAAATAATGAAGTTGTCCGAAGTCCAGCCTGTATCCACGAAAACAAGTTTGAGTGAGAGAGCTTACGATTTAGGACAATTCATGAAAGAAATCGTGTACGCTTAATCAACGCTGCTTTACTCCGATGACGTGCAAGTGGGTCACCCTGTATAATGTCATAGTTACTGAAATAGCTGAACACTCTGGTAACATGGCATGATTCGTCGTGACATATTTGTTTATTATTATTAATTTCTTCAAACTATTTATATGAGTATGTTTCACCCTTAAACAAAGAACACAATAATAATGTAGCACGTTTTAGAATCTCAAATCTGAATCACTTCAAAATATTACAAACTTTTCGTACGTGAC